TTGTATTGCATCACATACTACAATATCAATATATATCATATTTTCTCCCGTGCCTTCTCACATTAACATTTCAACATCATTAATCTTATAATAGTATGGAGTTTTTTCTCTATGTTAATGGAAGTGGTTTAAACTATGTCTGGAACTTCTCGGTGAACGTGCTATAATGGAAAAATGGCAAATGAGAAATTGCATCGGACATTAAAGAAAAGGAAGAAAAAATAATTTGTCAAATTTAGTATAGGTACCTCGTGGAATAGTGGAATTCTCTGCCACTATAAAAGTATAGGTACCTGTAGTGTTGCTAAAGGCTCGTCTGAGGCGCTTAAGCCCTGAAGCTTAGTTAACGCCAAGTTGTGCACTTTGCGTCACTTAGTTGGTGCTAAGGCATGTTTCTCGTCACCCATGGACTCTGTCTTTAAAAAGCAATATTAGACACAAAACATGGTTGGTAAACTGATAAAAAGAATGTTGAAAAATGACATGAATGAATTTCTTATGATTTGCGACAAGAAATTAAAATCTAGTATAAGAAACCTAGCTTCAGAAAACATTAAATTACATCTTTTCATCTAAATCGAAATATTTAAATGGTTTATAAAACGTGATTGACATGATTTTACTGCAGATGCTTAGTAGTATAAGAAAACTAGCTTTAGAAGACCTAGCTACATCTTTTCATTTAGATAAAGAATTTAAGATGGTTATTGAAACTTGATTGACATGATATTTACTTCACATGTTCTGCTGAATCATAGTATCTTTTGTTTTTGTAATTATTTTTCCTTGCATTATATATATATATATATATATATATATATATATATATATATATATGTGTGTGTGTGTGTGTGTGTGTGTGTGTGTGTTCATATATTGAGTTTAACGTGTACACACGGACAATGTGAAGAGTTTTTCCCACTATCAGGTCACCTTCACCGTTTTAGCAGGTAACCTCCTCATTTCCAACTTTACAGATTTCACTTTTTATGAAGGGTTACCTGTAGATATCTTTTGGGTAGTATGATGTAATTTTTTTTTACATTGTCATTATATATAAGTTAAACTCATATATTTTTATTTTTCTTTTATTAGCGCTATACCTTTTCTTGTTGCAGTTACCTTTTCTTTTTTAGTCGTTCTCTAGCCGAGGGTCTATAGGAAATAGCCTCTCTGCCCTTTCAGGGGTAGGGGTAAAGGGGTAAGGTTGCATACATCTTACCTTCCCCATACCCCACTTGTGGGAAACTACTGGGTTTGTTGTTGTTGTTGTTGTTTTATTAGCGCTATACTTTGTTAAAGCCTCCCCTTGATGCTGCTTCACGCTTAAAGTCGTAGCAGACTTTGGCCTTTTTCTCTTTTGGCTACTCTGCTATCATGAGCTAAGTAGGCTGGACTTATTATGTTATCTCATGCATGGCAAAGAAAGAAACTGAAATGTGATGAACCATGATATCATTTGTTTCTCTTTCTATCTTGCAGCTTTACTGTTTTGAGGACCGTGGAAACCGTCGAGTTGCATTGAGGCCTGAGCTGACTCCTTCATTGGCAAGACTTGTGATACAGAAAGGGTAAATGCCTAATTAGTTTTACTTGTGCATAGAAAGTCATGATTCTTCATTGACTTCTGAAGCAAGAATTATTGCAACTTTTCAATGTTCACCATTCATTTATGTTACTACAATTTTGTATCCAGGTGGGGATGCCAGATTTTGATCTGCGTGTTTTTTTCTGTCCAGAAAATCTGTATCTCTTCCATTAAAATGGTTTGCTATTGGACAGTGCTGGCGTTACGAGAGAATGACCAGGGGAAGACGCCGTGAACATTACCAATGGAATATGGATATAATTGGTGTACCAGATGTAATGGTAGGTTAACCTCTATCTGCTTAGTTGATTTTGCTACTGTAATAAAGCATTAAAAAGCACCCAAGCGTATGGCCTAGTGGTCAATGAAGTGGGTTGAGAACCCTGAGGTTTTAAGGTTCGAATTCCAGCAGAGGCTAAACCACTTTGTGATTTTTCGATCGGTCCAAGTCTTGCTGGACAGAGTTACTTTTACCTCTATTGGTGGGAGGTACCATGTACTCTGCGAAATTAGGTGAGGTGCGTACAAGCTACCCCAGACACCACAATTATAAAAAAATAAAGCATTAAAAAATTTAATTATTGCCAACTGCTGCAACTTTATACTATCTGTTTACATGTAGGCAACTGCTTTATAAATCCTCCTTTTCGACCTAGTTGAATGCTGCTGATCTTTGAGAATTAGAGCCCGTTTGGACATAAGAATTTTTTCACTTTTTTTCGAAATTAGTATTTGGCCATAAAATTTTCAATTTTCACTTGATGATGGATTTTGGAATTTTTCGAAAATTTGAAAAACTCCAAAAACCTGTTTTTCAAAATTTTCACTCAGATCACTCACAAAAATTCAAAAACAACCCAAAATTATATTCATGTCCAAACACAACTCTAATTTTCAAATACCATTTTCACTCTTTTTTTTTTTTTGGAATTTTACAATTCTTATGTCCAAACGCCCACTTAGTCTACCTAATGTTGATATCAATCAGTAATTAGTCAACTACGCCTCAATCTCAGATATGGTAGGATTAGATGTTCTAAGTGAAAAATGCTTGGGAGAATTTTGCGTTAGACATGATGATGTTTCTTGGCAAAAGGACTGACTAGTGTATTTTTCTTGAATCAAAATCTTCTGTTGGATGAAATTGGAGTTTTGAGTTATTAGATGTGGACAGGGCTTGATTTCTGAATAGGTCATTTTACTCAGTGATGGTGTCTTTTCTTGATTTGCCGCACTTCACCTTTTCTGGTAAACAAATAAATTAGTAGAAGTACTAATTTTTTTTTTTCAGTTCAAAAAAATAAATTAGTAGAAGTACGACTCAAACCAAGTTGAATGTAGATAAAACAGATAATGAAGTGGTTTACTTACATGGCCAAGATTGCCTGAACACTGGTTGACCAAGTCTGATCGTTGTGGAACAGCATACAGAAACCCAAAGTTGACAGGATAAAACCCTAAAACATCAAATAATATAAATTTTCCTAGCAACATAATGACCTAAGACAGAAATAGACTTGGAGAGAGATAACTAGATAACTTCAAGGAATGAATCTTTCAATCAACATCAAATTCAGTTCACCTATTTGAGGTATTCTTTTCCCTCTTCCATGTTTTGCATGTAAGTTCCGAGCTTTTCTAGAGAAAGATATTTTCTTGCTGGTGAAGCTTTAAATATATAATGCAATTGCTTAGATGCTAATTTCACATTTTCACTCACCAAATTTATTTCTATTTCCTCTCTTATTTAGGCTGAAGCAGAGCTGATATCTTCAATTATTACCTTCTTCAAGCGCATAGGCCTCACAGCATCAGATGTTGGGTTTAAGATCTCCAGTAGAAAGGTGTGTGCTTGAAAATACATTTTTTTCCTATTGCTAGAACAATCTCTATTCGCGTTCCTGCTATTGATTGCATTTCAGTTCCCAAGAAATGATATGTGGCGAAAGAACACAATATTTAAATACCGTTTCGTGTCAATATCTATCATATGTTATTGTCATTTCTTCTCAATTTGGGTGACCCACTTTCTACGTGGTGACATCCTGAAATTTTTTCCACTAATGCAATATATTATACTGAGAGGTTGTGAGTTCGAGTCTCCCCAATAGCAAGGTGGGAAGTTCTTGGAGGGAAGGATGCCGGGGGTCTATTTGAAAACAGTATCTCTACCCTAGGGTAGGGGTAAGGTCTGCGTACACACTACCCTCCCCAGACCCCACTAAGTGGGATTATACTGGGTTGTTGTTGTTATTGTTGTTGCAATATATTATACTGCTGCCACAATTTTATTATAAGGTTAAATCGTTTGGAAACTTAAGTTCAAATAGGACATGTTTACTCGATCGACCATCTTGTAAACCATTACTTCAGTCACATCCTTGCTACCTCCATAATATACATTTCAAATCAAAACTCAAGAATAGAGACATAGAGTTGGTAGCTTGTTAAGAAAAATGGCTACTTGTAATGCCCATTGTGAAGAAATGGATCTTTGGCCTTAACTCAATTCAGCTCCAAAGGATTACCCAAAATCATTTATGGAGACAAATAACCCACCGCTCAACCAATATGGGACACTTCATATCCCCCACACCAAGGACTGGTTATTTGGACTCTGGACAATGTAACATGGGGCCCAACATTCGGTAAACCAAGAATTGAAGTGAGTCAGATTGATATAATGTTGAAGTGTGTGGTCATCTCATCCAAAAGTTTAAGCTGTTAAAGAGAGCACATTTTTATTTACTTAACTGTGTCTTCAACACCCATAAATTGAAATGAGATAGTAGCTATTATCTTGTGTAAATTTTGAGAAATCTATTAAAAATTTGAAAAGAAGCCTAATTCTTAATGGATTATTATCAAGTTAGATAATAAGTTCCTGTTTACAAATAACTTGGTCTTGTTTGGCTGATCATCAGCCTGACAAATGGGAGTTACAAAGTAGGTGGGTGGCTGAGGCTTGTAAATGTCTAAGGAATTCAGGTGGCTCCTTCTTTTCCCTTTTGAAAAGCATCACATGAGCCCTAATTACCAATATGATGAGGTCAGTCCTTGGACTATCATTAGAGAATTCAGTGAGTTAACGAATTTGCTTGTATGACAGAAGTTAAGCAAATCTATTTGGAAATAATTTTGAGAATAATGTCTGTGATACAATTTCTTCTTCTTCAGGATGCCATTTATGGTGCTATTTGAACTTAAACAACTTGATGGGATTTTGATCTGTTTATTTAAATTTAAAATATCATGTGCTATATGATAGGTCTTGCAAGAAGTGTTGAGGTGCTATTCCGTCCCAGAAAACATGTTTGGTAGAGTTTGCATCATTATAGACAAGGTCAGTTTGATAATGTAACTCAGTTCCTCTTGTTTGATCTATAGTATTCCTAAAAGTAGAATATATGGTGACTGTGATTGCATCTGTTTATTTTCCATTGGAAGACTGTTTCTTTTGCATTAAGTGGGCATTTTCTAATCATATTATGCCTTACTCTTACTTGTATAAAAAGCTACTTCCTTATAAAAAAGGCTACTTTCTTATAGGTAGATAACTATGCATATTTTGAGGATATTAGAATTAATAATTTTGTACTTCTGAGGCAGGGGAATATGTTTAGCAACTTGATGTCAAGATCTAGCTTGAAATTCTATTCTCCTTGTCTACTTCTGTTTTATTGTGATATGATAAAGATATAGCCGTATTTTACCAATTAACTGTACCTTAATCCCAATTTAGTTGAGGCCGATTATACTAATCCTCTATCTTCCACTTTATTCAGACCCATTTCATTCCAATAGTAATTTAAAAAAAAAGGCAAATCAAGGGTTCTATCAGTTTAATTCGATGTTGTTTAAGAAGGAGTTCGAACGCAGGTGTGGGCTAAATAAATCAATGGGCAGTGACATTTATCTCTATCCGACATACAAGTCTCTAACAAAAAAAAAAACCTTAGCATATACGGATATGATGTAAGTGTGATGACAAATAAGCTTTGATCCCAGCTAGTTGGTACCTCTTATGTGGAAGCTTAACTTTAATTCCAACTGGTTGGTGTCACTATGTGGATACTTTGATTTTGTTGTATTACTGCTTTCGTCCCAAATTATGTGATGGTGTTTGATTGGGCACAAAGTTTAAGTAAGAAAGAAAGACTTACGATAATTCTGGTCTAAAACAAGCTTTAGATATTTGTGTTGCTATAAATCATCTTATTAAGAGTAAATGAAAAGTTTAAAGTTAAATTCATTTCGTTTGGTACAGACTAAAAAGCAAATACTTGGGAAAGAGGGAGTATGGTTTTAGCTAAGTTCTTTCATACTTGTTCCTACATGGACATGCAAGTCTTGAACTAGAATAAGAAGACTTCCCGCTAAGCTTTAATATCAACTGGTTAGCGTTTCCTATGCGTATTGTTTGCTTTTACGGTATTTATTATAAGTTAAGTTCGCATTGATTGCGAGCAATTGCATGTCTTTTGAGACTTCTGGTCATGTGATTTTATGTCCATCTCATCCTATTCTGTATCCTTTAATTACCACAGTGCAGTATGGACCGATTCATATATGGAGGTGTATGTAGGATATCGCAAAACCATCTTAAAAAATATTCTCTTATCTTCTTATCAGCTATGTGTACTACTTGCACCTTCGGATGATCATTTCTAATCTTGTGTAATTTTGTATTACAACATATCCATCTTAATATCTGCATTTTTACAACTTCCATATTATGAAAGCTTAACATTCAGTCCCATATAACATTGCTGGATTTATGATCATTCTAAAGAACTTGCTTAGAAAAAATGCTGTAAATAATTGAAAGAATTTTTCAGGAGTTTTCTTGGCAGGATCTTCAATTAAGATAATTTAGTTGTGCTTAGATGATTCATTATTAGTTTGCCAATGTTGTTTCTATAGATTCAATGGTCTAGCTGAAGCTTTGTTGAGAATTTAGGCTCTCAACCCATGCTTTAGTGTCTGTGAGTTTAGCTCCTACTTTGCCCCCAAAAAATTACACTAACAGTTGAAATTGATCACCTCCGGTGATATAACAGCTATGTTTCTCGGTTGCTACTGGTTCTGAACTGCTTTTCTTGGTTCTTATATCCCCCCCCCCCACGAGAAAAATAATTATCAATTAAAAAGAAAAGCTTACGGTAAAGGAGATAGAAAAAGAAACTCCAAAGGTCCATTAAAAGTAGTCCTTATTGCATTTTTCTCACATGGTAAAGCCAAGCACAAATCCCTCGACCTGGAGTCGGAAGTGCCCTGTTTCCCCCCTTTTCTCTCTTGGTGACACATAATACCAGCCTTAAGGTTGGAGGTGGAGTCATTTCCCCTAGGCTATCCCACTCTATGAAAGCTGCTCCTTATAGCATTACATCTTAGAGACGCCTAGTGCACTTATCTTCTAAAAGATCTTAGAATTATTTTTTCTGTTGCGAGCTCAATCTTTTTATTTTATTTTTTGGTGACCGTGGTGAGCGGCAATTAACGAACAGCCAATTGTTTATAATACAGTTGATTTACGTATCTCCTACTGTACTTTCCAGTCTGCTTCTTCTGATCAACTTCTGTTACTTTTTTGGCTGAAATAGATTGGAAAGATTCCAATGGATGATATCAGGAAAGATCTGCAGTCGGCTGATATGTCAGAGGTAGCTATTGAAGAGCTATTGCAAGTCCTGTCACTGAAGTCTTTGGCAAAGTTAGAAGGTCGGCCGTTACAGCATTTAGTTGACTAAGGTTACCTAAATAGTAAATACCCCTTAGTATGTACCATAATTTATTCAGTTCTGAAGTTCTATATCATGTAAAAAAAGTTTTATTTCATGTGAGTTTCTTGTTTAGTAGAACTAGAACCTGTTAAACACACAGGACGTAGATCCATGAAAGTTTGCAGCAGAGTTTGTCTTGTCTGGCTGTAGACTGTTTACGAGAATACAAAGTGATAGAACTTCTACAAAGATGTCCTATTCTTGAAGTTATGTGATTTTGCCAGATGAAGATTGTATTTCTACCTGTTTTAGAGACGGAATAGTTGTAATCCCCTACTGATGTATTTGCAAATATTATAGCTCGGAGGTTTATGATCTTGGTTTTTATACATTTTTGTTTGTGCAGAAAAACTTGGGGCCTCAGGAGAAGCACTATCTGATTTGAAGGAACTATTCTCGCTTGCTGAAAAGTATGGCTATTCAGAGTGGCTTCAGTTTGATGCATCAATTGTCCGTGGTTTGGCATATTACACTGGGATTGTCTTTGAGGTTAGACTCAAGATATTTTCTGTTAATATTCTGAACTTTGTGCATGAAAGTGTACTTCAAGAAGACTTGGAATTGGTTAACTACTTGTTGGAGTTGTCTTACTGGTAAACATTTTGCTCGCAAATAGGTTATCTCTTCCACTTCATTGAGTAATTACAGTTTTCTGCAGGGATTTGATCGTGAAGGAAAGCTCCGGGCTATCTGTGGTGGTGGACGATATGATCGGCTATTGTCTACCTTTGGAGGCGATGATCTTCCAGCTTGTGGATTTGGATTTGGTGATGCTGTAATAGTAGAAGTGAGTAGAACTTCATCCTTTTTTCTTTTGCTGGATGCTAGAGATAAAAAGTTAATCTGTTTTTCAATTGATGTTTTAATCAGTGGAGCATGAACTGCTTCTACTCTGAACTTAGATGGAAGTTCACATTTGCTTTATGGACGTTGTCAAGATGGACTATTTTGCCTGTTTTGCTTTCAAACAATACTATTCTCAGTTTTCCATCCAATTCAAGTTTTTGGTTTTTGTAAAATTGGTTAATCTCTGAACATCAGACACTGTTTTCTCCATGACTGTATCTAACCTGCATATAGCAACACTTGTAGGCATTGGCCATGAAATAAATCCCAATAGGCACACAAACATGCAGCAAATGACAATCAACACCACCTTATCTGACATTCTGTGATTGCACTAAGGGCTACAACCCAGACAGTCTTCTCAACTTTCCGTACCTTTGCCAGTCATACGTCAATTATAGCCTGCTTTCTACATTTTGCTTGTTTTCCTGAGGTCTATAACCTTTTGGTCTACGGAATAGTTGACTTTCAGTAAGATTGGTTTAACCTGGTGTAAGTCTTGCTGATAAAGATGGAGTATGTGTATGTGAGCGGAGGAAAAACAAGTCTGTTACTGAAAGTATCAGCAAAGGGAACAAGTTCCCTTTATGTAAGGTTTAAAAAATATCACCATACGTTCATGATAGATTTTGACAACAGTGTTGTCGAAGGCTCATTTGAGGCGCGCTTTCCCTGAAGCTAAAAAAATCTCAGGTTATGCTCTTCGCCTCACTTAGGCTGCGTTTCAGTATACTAAGGCGTGCGCCTCATTGGCTATAAGTTCTATCTTGAATAAAGCGGTACAAAACAATAAATATGATTTGCAAAAAGATATATTAATAGTTGAGGAAATCATTATAAATGAAATTATCATTTTTTTCTTGCATTACATATATATTTTTATTTTTTTCTTCGTTGCACATTTTTTAACTAGAGCCCTCACTTTAATTGTGCTTTGCGCTTAAAGCCCTGATAGACTTGGACTGCTTTTTAACACTTTTCGCCTTTGATAACACTGTTTGACTATGGGTCATCACTAGAGTAAAGATATAAGAGAAAAAAAAAGGCAGCCCGGTGCATAAGGCATCCGCGTTCACGTATGGTCCGGGGAAGGGCCGCACCTCAAGGGGTATGATGTAGACAGCTACCCTAATGCAAGCATTAGTGGATGTTTCCACGGCTCGAACCCGTGAACTATAGGTCATACGGAGACAACTTTACCTTTGCTCCAAGGCTCTCCTTTAAAGATAAGGAGAACACCTAGTTTACTTTCACTTTGGCCGGAAAGAACAGAAAGTAGTCTGGAAAAGGATAGAGGGGCTAGCAATAACATTTTTCACTTCTTGGGAGAAGGAAATAGAGAAGAAAATTTTTTCCAACTACAAACTTCTAACTTTTTCAGGTTCAAACATAATTGCATCTGTCTTATTCACTACTTAGGAAAAGGTTTTCCCTCTAACATTGTCTGTTTACCACATACAGCTATTCTCATAACCTGTTGCTTCACGGTAACTCTTTTCTGATATGCTGTATTCAACCTGCTAGTTAAGCCTACTATATCTTTGAGATTGTCATTTATAAGATTTTGTTTTGATCCGTTTTACTTCCAGGAGTAAAGGGGGTGGGGGTTGTGTGGCTTGTTGATAGCTGCCACTAGTCAGTGTTTTGTGTACTTTAGAATTTTCTGAACAAGTTTCCTCCTTTCATTTTGGATTCAATGAAATGAAAGTGCTGCACTAATATTTTATACTATATTGCATAGTTTCAACTTGAGAACCACCACAGGTTACAGGAAAGACCTGTTTTAGCTTGTTTGTCTCATCTGTATGTTTCATGTTAGAAGATGTAGGTCTAACAGGTATTTGTTTGTGCTTTCTCTGTTGGGGAATACTCAGCTGCTCAAGGAGAGGGGACTTCTACCACAACTTAACCTCCAAGTAGAGAACATTGTCTGCTCCCTGGATCAGGAACTTCAAGGTGCAGCATCAGCAGTTGCCACTATTCTCAGGGAAAAGGGGCAAAGCGTTGATTTGGTTTTGGAGAACAAGCCACTTAAGTGGTACAGATACTCTATTCTTTACGATCTATAGATTCTCTATTTCTTTGTTGATGTCGCTGCTTGCAGCTTCAGTATGTCTTTGCTGTTTCACTTTGAAGCTCATACTTCCAAATTTTCCATTTCTTGTTGTGAAGGGTGTTCAAGCGAGCAGCACGGATAAATGCACGCAGATTGATTTTGGTTGGAAATGCTGAATGGCAAAAAGGTATGGTTAATGTTAAGACTCTTTCAACAGGTGAGCAAGTGGAGATAAAAATCGATGAACTGGAGTAACGGAGCCTTGGTGTATGAAATATCTTTTTTTCCATTCTTTTGCAATGATGCAAGTTGCCTATTTAGCTGTACTGTTTTTTTGGTAATGGTGAAGTGATGAAGTATTAAATTTTGTTGTTATTTTTCTTATCTTAGTGAAAGAAAACCCATTTATCCAATTTTAAGGTTGAAAAATTATTCTGTATCATAGCAATGAAAATAACCAGGCGTCAACCTAATACTAACTGAATTCGATATATAATTCCTCTAATCCTCTGTGTTTTTTCGACTTGCGGCTCTGCCTAGGATACATTTCATTCCATTACTAAATAATTTAAGGCAAGTTGGTGATTTTCTAATTTAGAAGTTATCTACAGGGTACACATAACATAATTGAACGTTCTAAGTTTCTAAACACAATAATAAATTAATTGCCATTAGAAGAGGGGGAAGGCGTGAGAAACTAGGGGCGAAATTGAATAACTTCCAAGGCAAAGTGGGATGCAAAACTACGTTTATAATAGAAGTATATACACGGATATATTCAAATGTATATATTTGCATTAACTAGATTGACATTTTAACGTGGGAAAAAATAATTCACCACATGCATATTAGTATTTCCTACCTGTGGTGCATTTCTGGTCCAATTGTGATCATAAACCATATCAATTTTACAGAAAATAGCGCATTTTTTAGAGAAACAAATGTAGGTGGAAATTCTAATTACTCCCTTTGCCCGAAGTTTTGTATCGTAATTCGCTCAAAATTCTTAATTTATCATAATTCCGGATATAGAAATTTTTTTAAATAAAATTTACTTATTTGAAAACTATATAAAAAATATTATATTTTACAATAATTAATAATTTAAAATACAAACAAATCGTTCGAACAACAATATTTGCATCATTCAAACTTTATTAACCATTAGCTCCTTGGCTATAAATCTTTGAAGAGTGAATTTCATTACAAAAAAGTATCATATACATATCGAAGTTTGATGTTAGTGAAGATATCAAGGGAGTTTTACCTTATTTTTAATACGTGGGAATAAATCTCCATTTTAGTGACGAAGTAGTACACTGCAATTCACACGCCTAGGGCCGATTTCCGTCCAGCGATGCACCAATTTGATAGTAGCATAAACCCAATCACCGGTTTCTAAATTCTGCCCAATTTCGCATCCAAATCCTCTTCTGCAGCCATGGTGTCATTCTAAAGAACCTCAACAAGAGAGCTGCAAAATACATCATTTTCCGTTTGATGTAATGGCCGGTGGTCCGTCTCTTCTCGATTCTCTCTTCCAGCGATCTTTAGAAGACTTAATTAAAGGTCTCCGTCTCTACGTCGGCGACGAATCAACTTTCATCTCCAAAGCCGTCGACGAGATCCGCCGCGAAATCAAGTCCACCGATCAGCAGACAAAAGCAACCGCCCTTCAGAAACTCACTTACTTGCACTCAATTCATGGCGTCGACATGTCGTGGGCTGCTTTTCACGCTATAGAACTCTCTTCCTCTCAGTCTTTCAATTTCAAACGCATTGCTTATCTCGCCGCTTCTCTTTCCTTCGATCCTTCCACTACTGACGTCATCCTCCTGCTGACTCATCAGCTTCGCAAGGACCTATCCTCTCCTAATCCACACGAAGTAAGCCTCGCTCTTCACACTCTTTATTTCATTTCGACTCCTGATTTAGCTCGTGATTTAACTCCTGAGGTATTCACTTTACTGAATAGTAACAAAGGTTCTACTAGGAAAAAAGCTATTGCTATTATTTTGAGACTATTCGAGTTGTATCCAGATGCGGTTAGGGTTTGTTTTAAGAGATTAGTTGAAAATTTGGAGAATTCTGATCCGGCTATTGTATCCGCTGTTGTTGGTGTTTTTTGTGAACTTGCTAGCAGAGAACCAAAATCTTATCTCCCGTTAGCGCCCGAATTTTATAAGATATTGGTAGATTCGCGGAATAATTGGCTGTTGATTAAAGTTCTGAAGATTTTTGTGAAGTTGGCTCCATTGGAGCCGAGGTTGGGGAAAAAGCTGGTGGAGCCAATCTGCGATCATTTGAGGAGAACGGGTGCAAAGTCATTGTCTTTTGAATGTGTGAGGACTATTCTTAGTAGTTTCAGCGAGTATGACTCTGCCGTGAAGCTTTCTGTTGAGAAGATTAGGGAGTTTTTGAATGATGATGATCCGAATCTCAAGTATCTCGGTTTGCAAGCACTTACTATTGTTGCGCCCAAGCATTTGTGGGCAGTTATGGAGAATAAGGATTTTGTGATTAAATCGTTAAGTGATGCGGATGCAAATATTAAACTTGAGGCCTTGCAGCTTGTCATGGCCATGGTTTCCGAGGATAATATGGCGGAAATTTGCAGGGTTTTGATCAATTATGCTCTTAAGTCAGACCCAGAGTTTTGTAATGAAATTCTGGAGTGCATCTTGTTGACTTGTTCCAGGAATGTGTATGAGATAATTGTGGATTTTGATTGGTATGTATCACTTCTTGGGGAAATGTCGAGAATTCTGCACTGTCAGAAGGGGGAGGAGATAGAGAACCAGCTTGTGGATATAGGCATGAGAGTCAAAGATGCAAGACCAGAACTTGTTCGAGTTGGCCGTGATTTGCTAATTGATCCTGCGTTGCTTGGCAATCCTTTCATACACCCGATTTTATCAGCAGCTGCTTGGGTGTCAGGGGAGTATGTTCGATTTTCCAAAAACCCATTGGAAATTATGGAAGCACTGTTGCAACCAAGAACCAGTTTATTGCCGCCATCAATTAAAGCCGTATATATCCAGTCTGCATTTAAAGTACTTACCTTTTATCTGCATTATGCTATATCTACCGAGGAAGTTATTTCTTCAGCTTCCCAAGGAGTGGCAGATATAATGCATGGAGCAGTACAAGAGAATTCTCAGTTTGTAAGAGCTGGATTGGTTGCTGAAAATGACTCAGATGACGGGGGTTTGAATCACAGGATGTTACATCGACCTGTTAGGGATGTTTCAGTAGAGAGTTTTGAGGATATGGCTGTTGCTCATGACTGGTTGTCCTCAACTTCCTTCAAGGGGGAGCCAATCACTGAAGAATCTATTGTTAACATATTAAATCTTGTTGAAACCACGCTGGGACCACTAGCAGGAAGCCATGAGGTGGAGATACTGGAGAGGTCAAGAAATGTCCTTGGTTTGGTTGAATTGGTAAGAGAAGAATTACCTGGTTACTTGGTGAAAAGGGAAGAAGATAATGACAAGGGACAAAGGAAGACTCATGAAATGATCAAATTAATTGCTGAAGCCTTTTCGGAAGAGCTCGGTCCAGTTTCAGCAAGTTCTCAGGAAAGGGTACCAATACCTGAAGGAATGGTGCTTAATCAAAGTCTGAATGATCTGGATGCCATATGTGGTGACTTCGAGTTGCATATACCTACTTCTTTCTCCCTTGGAAGATCAATTTCCTCCGAAAAGGATGATGTTACCATGTCTGATCGGCAAGGTAAGGAAGAATTTGAACCAACTGAATCAACATCTCTTCTTGCAGAGCATCGCAAACGCCATGGGCTATACTATTTACAGTCACAGAAAAAGGAATCGATAAATGATGAATACCCACCTGCTAATGACCTCAAGACTGGAGAGAATGCTGATGACAAGGCTGATGATCTTATTAAGCTGACAGAACAATCTCTCTTCCCTAAGAAAAAGACAAACCAGGCAAAGCCTAGGCCTGTAGTAGTGAAACTGGATGATGGAGATGGACCTTTTATCCCCATAAAGAAGGTAGATTCCAAAGATGACTTAATCTCTGGTGCTGTGAGAGATGTTCTTTTCGGTGATGAAGCCACAGCATCATCATCACGAACTAAGAAGTCTGATAAGTCATCTAGTAAGAGAAGACAGAAGGACAAGTTAGACATAGACAAGTCTTCCGGACCAAAAGAGGATTCTAAATTCATGGAGAATTCTGAACTAGAAAATGCAAATTTGAGAAGAAGCAAACGCCATTCTCGTGGTAAAGAGAAGAAACATAGAAGTAATGCAAAAGATAGAGATGAACATGAAGAGGGAGATAAGCAGAAGGTTAGCCATCATCATGGCAAGCATAAATCCCGACAAAGGGCAGAAGGGGCTCTAACATTAGCAGCACAATCACCTGTTATTCCTGATTTTCTTTTGTAGCAATGGAAGCTGGGATCTTGATTATGAATATGATATATTTGATCAATACAGCTTAGGTGAGTTCTTCTGTACATTACACTTCATTTTTTCGCTGTTTTAGTTACTCATTACACTTGCAATTGGTGAAGTGGTTTTTCTCCATCTGTTCTGATTTTTACCGTGTGAAATTTCATTTGGAAAGGCTATATTCTTTTGTTCTTAACACTTGTACAAGAAAACCCTTATAAGGCCTTGACTGGTTATGATCCTCTGGTTCTATTTGTTTTTGTATTCGATCTCATCTATGTACACATGCATGGGGAGGCACTTTTTTTGCTAATTTGATGAAGGTAAAAAGACAGGCAATAAACTGCCCCCAAAAATGATATGAGGACTGATGAGAATATAAAAGGGCTAATACACTATAGAAAAAGCTAAAGGATTTGTTCAATAAACACATAGGGAATCTCCTATAGTTGGTGGATAAGATATGATGCTTGTGAAATTTTCATCATGATGCCAATACACGCTTGGTGAGAGTTCATGACAATGGGAAAATTTATGCACAAGTTGAAGGATTTGGGTGAAATATTCTTTTGACATTGTGGAACCTAAGAACTAGCTGCTTGTAGGGAGTGCTGTAAATTGGTACTAAAACTGACAAAACCAGTTCCTTGAGCAACTGCACCAATTAAAAAGAAGTTCCTTCAGCAAATGAGTTATGCCCTTTAATTAAGAAAAAACCATCACGAGCAACACTTGCTTTGGATATAGAGTATCTCCACCACCAACAAGTAGATTCTGCTCATGTGGAGGGTAAGTGGGAACACTGTGATCCTTGTGGAAGATGGGGAGCGGGGGCACCTAAAAAAAAGAGAAAGAAACCAATACACAAGCAGTCCCCTCTAAATAACTGAAACCATTATTTGTCGTCTTATTTTTGTATTACTTTCTGGAGCGACGTAGCTGGTTAGTCTCTTGCATTGTAACCTTCTAAAAAACTACCACATATGGATTTA